TGTGTTGGGCCGAACACTCCTCTGTTCGGTTTGTGGTCGAACGTTCGAACCGAATAGATGTTTGACGACGAACTTTAAGCTCAATGAAAGTCTATGGGATTCACTTGTAAATTCAAACGTGCCCATTTTGAAGGCTTGTGTGCAGGTTGTTTGCCATAAAAGGGGTATGGAGACATGAATCAGTGAAAACATTTTTTCAAAAAGTACAGTTTTAAAGGGGCAGTCATTTTTTTTTGCTTAAAGTAAACAATTAATAATAATTACTTTAAATATCATGCCTGGGGGTCTCTTTACCTGCAAAGCTGCACATCTGTGCAATGTATAGGACCTGCTGCAGCAGGACTGAAATTTTTTTTTAATTAAATTTATATTTAAAAAAATTAATTAAAAGTGTGCAGTCCCCCCTAAGTCTTACCAGACCGTTTACGTCTGGTAGGAAGGTTAGGAGGCACCCCACAGTAATAAAACAAAAAAAGTGTTTGGGGTCCCCCCTAAAAGGCTGGTAGGACTTTAAAGCAGAACCCCTCCCCTCAAAAACAGGGTTAAAAAATGTGTGGTCCCCCCTAAGTTCTTACCAGACCTTTGATCTGAGCACAGGCCTGGCATGGAGGGAGGGACAAGGGCCTTCCCCAAAACATTGGCCCGGTGGATGTGGGGGACTGCGGGCAAAGGGAGCTTGTTATCAGGGTGGCCATTTAAATAAGGGGTCACCCTGAATATTTGTGCATGAATAAGGGGTTTTTGTACATCTAACCTTTCATTAAAGGGTTAAATGTAGTAAAAAAAAAAAAAGACTAATCTTTAGAAAAATTTCTCTAATTTAAACAAAAACAAAACAGTTTTTAACAAGTCCTTTAATAATAATTTAAACAAAAATAAAAAATCTCCATCATTGTAATTTATTGTCAATCACGGGGTCCAGCGTTGTCACAAAGATGCCAGTTTAACTGACAATTGCGTGGTCATGCAATGCTGTACATAAATTACATTTCTGTCCTTTTTTAAAAAGAAACATACATTTTTCTTTTGGAAGTATATGATCACCTGTGTGTGCATTTATTTTTTTTTATTTCACACAATAAACAAAAAACAGACTGAAAATTTGGAAAAAAATATTTTCTCATTTCTGTCATATAAAATATCCACAAAACTCAAATGTTGTCATAAATTTAGGCCAAAATGTATCAAAAAGGAATCAAAACATCCGGGGGGGGGAGATATTCCAAAGCAATTTCCAGGAAAAGCTTTATTTTCTCCATCAGTTTAATCCTCGCAGTTGTTATCTTTTGTTCCACCAGCCCCTCTGTACTAGATTGTAAGCTCCCTGGAGCAGAGCCCTAACCCTCTTGTATTGAATTGTATTGTTGCTGTATTGACTCCATTTATAATTTTTTACAGCACTGCACAAAGTGTTGGCTCTATAAAAAATCCTGAATAATAAAATAATAATAATAATCACCATCATCATCAGATAGTATAATAATAATACTATTCCCTTCTTCTTGGTCTGAGCAAAAGGGGGGCACACTGATCCACCACATGGCAGATAATATTAGGATTTCTATCAAAGGTCTCATTACTGAAATGATCTCTGGGGGAACCAAATGTTGATGGATTGCAACAATGTATCAAGCAGAGCAGAAAAGCTGAAACATATTTTAAGTAACAACAAAATCCTTCCCGTATATGTGTGTAAAATATACTGACACCTAATGGGAGTTTTGAGCATTGCAGCCAATTATCCCATCCCCCCAATATTATTATTATATTATTATTATACAGTATTTATATAGCTCTAGAAAGGTTTGCTCAGCGCTGTACATTATAGTGGGGGACAGAACATGAGACAATACAGTAACAAAACAATAAACGAGGGGTTCGAGGGCCCTACTCCTTGGAGCTTACAATCTAGAAGGGAGGGGATAGTGGTACAGGGAGTGGCTGTGGGGGATGGAGTGCTAGGAGGAGTGGAGGAGATCGGCTGTTAGGTGAGGGTGGGGTAGGCTTCCCTGAAGAGATGGGTTTTCAGGGTTCGCCTAAAGGGGAGGAGGGTAGGTGACAGTCTGATGGATTGGGGTAGTGAATTCCAGAGGGAGCTAGAAAGTAGGAGGTCTTGTGAGGAGCGAAGAGTACTGGTTGGGTGGTATTTGGGTATCAGGTCGGTGAGGTAGTTTGGGGCAGCGTTGTGAATGGCTTTGTATGTCTTTGTTAGTAGTTTGAATTTAATGTGTTGGGAAATCGGGAGCCAGTGGAGAGAATGACAGAGGGGGGTGGCAGAAGAGGAGCGGTTGGTAAGGTGGATGAGTTTGGCCGCTGAGTTCAGGATAGACTGAAGCGGGGATAGTCTGTGATGAGATAGGCCGGTGAGGAGGGAGTTGCAGTAGTCCAGACGTGAAAATAACGAGGGAGTGTACGAGTCGTTTAGAAGTGTCTGGGGTTAGGAACATACTGTACGTATTTTGGAGATGTTGTGGACATGGGGTTGGAAGGACAGGTTTGAGTCTAGAGTGACACCTAGGACTTTGGCTTGCGGGGTGGGACTGATGGTGGCGTTGTTGGTCATAATGGAGAGGGGGGGGGGGGGGGGGGGGGCATGGGCTGGGGGGAATATTAGGAGCTTGGTTTTGGAAAGGTTCAATTTGAGGAAATGGAGCAACAGCAACATCCAGTTTGATATGTCATTCAGCAGGTGGGTAATACGGGCGGAGACTGAAGGGGTGAGGTGAGGGGTGGAGAGGTAAATTTGCGTGTCATCCTCGTAGATTAGTCCATCCTGGATAGAGAGGAGCGGTGCTCTGGGGGGGGGGGGGGGGGAGAGAGGATGCATTGCATGACAGCTGACATATTCATCAAAGGGGTGAAGTCTCCCAGGTGATGTATTTAACTCTTTATGGTCACAGTGCTAAATGGTTAGCACTTCTGCATGGCAGTACTCGGGTCATTGGTTCGAATCCCAACCACGGCACCACCTGCCTGGAGTTTGCATGTTCTCCCTGTGCCTGCTGCGTGGTTTCCTCCGGGTCTACTCCGTTTTCCTCCCACTTCCAAAGACATGCTGGTAGGTTAATTGGCTCCTGTCTAAATTGTCCCTAGTATGTGTATGTATGAATGTGAGTTAGGGACCTTAGATTGTACACACCTTGAGGGTTAGGGACTGATGTGAATGTACAATATTATGTAAAGCGCTGTGTAAACTTATGGCGCTATATAAGTACCTGAAATAAATAAATATTCTGGTGACAACTCAACATCGGCAATATTCCTTTACTTTCACTCTACCTGATAACACTAAACAGGACAAAGACCGAAGATGGAGGATTGCAACGTTTTTTCTGCTCTCTGCTCTTCTTGTCCAAAATGGAAAACCTTTCTTGATTGTTTATTTGTGTTTTCTGTACTTTAAATTTTTTCTGCATTTTCAATCTTGCCCAATCATCATGAAAAAAACAAAACAGTCATATAGGTGTGTGTGTGTGTGGGGGGGGGGGGGGGGTACATGTCTTCCCTGTCACTTATAGGTCCCTAGGCCATGGCTTATCTGGGGAGGGGATTGTATCCGGATTAGAATCATTGTAACAAGTGAATCCTGTCGGCGATACTTTGTTGTTTTCAGGTCCATCGTTTGGTGTATTCCCTTCTTGTCGGTGCAATTCTTTCTCCTTGGACTGAGGAGAAGGGAACACCCTGGAGGCTTTTACATGTTAGTACAAAGAAAAGAAGTGTCAGGGTCAGTAGACATGTGTTGGTCTTAGAGGAACCCCACCGCTCATTCCCCTCCAAATAGCCGACATTTCCTCTCCACATTCCCCACATGATAGACAAGAATGGGATTTGCAGCAAACTTCCTATTCCTGAAATGATCTCTCAGGGAATCCAAATGTGATGGATTGACTTCCATCACTGAAAGCATCAAATCCTATTGTAGATCCGAGGATTCCGAGCAAACCTCCCCCCCTGAGCAGTCTATGGAGCTGTGGAGTGAAATGCGGCAATCAAGTCATTGGCAGGATTTGGCTCTCAATGTCCATTTGTGATGATGATCCAATAATGACACCTAGGCCATGACACCTGACACCCTGTAATGGGCGGAGCCCTTTGTATCTGTCTCCCAATGTCTGCCATGACATGACACAAGGATCTCCTGTGATCGGCCGATGTTTTTTGTTCCCGGCTCCTTGTAGTCAGCTAGAGATGAGCCGAGTTGTGTATTAGAGGGAAATGTTTGGCGATCTCCCCTCTTCCCTCGTGTAATGTGAAGCGGATTGTAGTGGGGGATGGGAGCAGATTGTTTTGTGGGTAGAATGTGTCCCCCCAAGCAGGTAGAAGGCAGAATGGGCCCCCCACTCCGGAGGATGGTTGTGTTTGCAGCCTCTGTGTTCAGCCTCGTGAGCAGCTCCTGACAGCTGGAAGTGACCCCCGATAAGTGACAGTCCAGGGAGCAGATCGGCTCCCCGGTGCACATCGGACATCGTTCTATTTCGGAATAAAATCGGTTTTTATATCTACCGGGAAACACAACGAGAGAGAGAAGATTCCCCGACTGTGGACTGACAGCCAGTGGGCGTGTGTGATGTGTAACCAATAGCAGGACAGAGTGGAGTTGTGTGTCAACCAATCGCAGTGTTAGAAGGTCTGTATATAAGGCGGAGCGCCGTGTGTGATTTGTAATGAACTATTGTGGAAACATTTCCCGAGTCATGACGGAGACTGAGAGCGCCCCAGCCGCCGCTCCTCCAGCGGAGGCCGCCGCCAAGAAGAAGCCGGCTAAGAAGGCGTCAGCCGGAGGAGGAGCCAAGAAAGGCATCAAGAAGGCGTCCGGTCCCGCCGTGTCCGAGCTCCTCGTCCAAGCCGTGTCCGCTTCCAAGGAGCGCAGCGGGGTGTCCCTGGCCGCCCTGAAGAAGGTCCTGTCCGCCGGAGGATACGATGTGGACAAGAACAAGGCCTGAAGATCGCCCTCAAGGCGCTGGTGACTAAGGGGAGCCTCGTCCAGGTCAAAGGCCATGGGGCCTCCGGATCGTTCAAGATCAACAAGAAGCAGCCCGACGGCGCCAAGGCGAAGCCCAAGAAACTGGCTGCTAAGAAGGCTGCAAAGTCCCCCAAAAAGAAGGCGGCCAGAAAGCCCAACCACCGTAGCCAAGAGCCCCAAGAAGGCCGCCAAGTCCCCCAAGAAGAAGGCGGCCAGCAAAGCCCCCACCGCAGCCAAGAGCCCCAAGAAGCCGGCCGCCAAGAGACCGGCAAAGGCTGCCGCCAAGAAGGTGACCAAGAGCCCCAAGAAGAGCAAAGCTGCAGCCAAGCCGAAAAAAGGCGCCAAGAGTCCCGCTAAGGCCAAGCCGGCAGCTAAGAAGGCGGCTAAGCCCAAGAAGGCCGCTCCGAAGAAGAAATAATGGGCGGCGACCTCTTCATCTCCACCCCCCAAAGGCTCTTCTCAGAGCCCCCCACCTCCCCCCAACAGAGCTCTCCATACATACACAGACATCGCTGAGTGCGCACCTCCTGCTCGCATGTCCGATATTGATCTGACAATTCCCACACACTGCCTGATCTCTGGGGGGGGGGGGGCACTAAATGTCCCCATTCCCCCCTACATGTGTGAACTCCAAGCAGCCGGCCCTCCTATCCCTCTTGTATTGTCTCCCGTTATATTGTACAGCGCTCAGCATACTGTCGGCGCCATAAATCCTGTATAATAATAATAGGCGATCATTCCTTCATTTCAGGATCTCATGCGGCCATTCTGAACGTTCTAATCCCAATGATCGGGAGACACATCATCTGGTGGACCTCTCTGCGGCCTTCGACACAGTCGACCACCCCCTCCTCAATAAACTACTCTCCCTTGGCATCAGAGATTCTGCTCTCTCCTGGCTCTCATCCTACCTATCCCGACGCTCCTTCAGCGTCACCTACAATGGTACCACCTCCCCCTCTCTGTTGGGGTCCCCCAATGCTCTGTCCTTGGACCCCTTCTCTTTTCCATCTACACCTACACCTCCTCCCTGGGCACACTCATGGCTTCAATTATCACCTCTATGCTGACGACACCCAAATCTACCTCTCCACCCCTCTCCTCACCCCTACTATCTCCGCCCGCATCACTCACCTCCTAAACAACATCTCAGACTGGATGTCACTCCATTTCCTCAAGCTTAACCTCTCCAAAACCGAACTCCATCTTTCCCCCTGCCCCCCCCCCCCCCTAGCCTATCCATCACCACCACCACCACTAGCATTCCCATCCTGCAAGCCAAAGTCCTTGGCGTCATTCTTGACTCCAACCTTTCCTTCCTCCCTCATGTCAAATCACTTACAAACACATGCAGGCTCCATCTTCGCAACATTGCCAAGATACGTGCCTTCCTCACCCCAGACACCACCAAACAGCTTCTACACTCCCTCATCATCTCACGCCTGGACTACTGCAAGTCCCTCCTCACCGGCCTACCCCAGTGCAGGCTCTCCCCGCTCCAGACCATCCTGAACTCAGCGGCCAGACTCATCCACCTCACCACCCGCTCCACCTCTGCCACCCCCCCTCTGCCTCTCCCTCCACTGGCTCCCGATTGCCCAACGCATCAAAATTTGAACTTCTAATCCTGACCTACAAAGCCATTCACAACACTGCCCCTGACTACCTCACCAACCTGATCCCAAAGTACCACCCTACCCGTACCCTTCGCTCCTCACAGGACCTCCTTCTATCCTGCTCCCTGGTCTCCTCCTCCCATGCACGACTTCTCCAGGTCCTCCCCCATCCTCTGGAACTCACTGCCCCAATCCATCAGACTGTCGCCTTCCCTCCCCACATTCAGGCGCTCCCTCAAAACCCATCTCTTCAGGGAAGCCTACCCCACCCTCACCTAACGGCCATCCTGCCTCATTCCTCCCACCACTTCATCCCCCTCAGCCACTCTCTATTGTTCCACTACCCCCTCCCTCCTAGATTGTAAGCTTGAAAGAGTAGGGCCCTCTTACCCGTCGTAGGCGGTCTGTCTTTTGTTGTACTGTGACATGTATTGTACAGCGCTGAGCAAACCCTTTGGCGCTATATAAACTCGATATAATAATAATGGTGGACGGGTTAGAATGATCGGCAACCAGCCCCCCCCCCCCCCCCATCTTCAGAGATCATTACAGAGTTCTCCCTCGAAGAATAAATGTAATACCGGAGGAGGTAATAGAGGACATGACTGACCCCCCCAATAGTGTCACTATTGTCAACCATCTATTACCTTCTCCGTGTGGAAGGTTACCCCCCCCCCCTGATTATATTCTAATCAGGTGATCGATCCTCAGATCTCTTCCTAATGATTTATCAAAGATGAGATTATCTGAGTGCTTGGGGTAACAGTTTTGTATCTAAACGATCCGATAAATAATCGTGTGTGTGTGGAAGATGTGTTCATCGGCGGATGATACATTGTACCGAGTTATGGAATAGATCTACAAGAGGAAATGTGTCGATCAGGAGAATCAATTGTTAGAGACGAATTGAAGATCTTTCTAGTGCTCAGCCCCAAGTCCCCTCCCCCATCGGGCGCCCCCCATGTACAGACGGCGCTGCGTTGTGTAAACGGTTTGGCCCTTTACATGTTGTAATGGGCGCCTCCAGATTGCGCTGAATTGTAAAAGGCGCCATGAGGGGGAAAGGCGGAGAAGTCCCGGTACAGAGCTCTGTGTGGGGGGAGGTGGTGGCTCTGAGAAGAGCCGTTGGTTGGCGGGTTGTGTGGAATGTCTGTTGCGGGGGGTCTAGGCCCTCTCTCCGCGGATGCGGCGTGCCAGCTGGATGTCTTTGGGCATGATGGTGACCCTCTTGGCGTGGATGGCGCAGAGGTTGGTGTCCTCGAAGAGTCCGACGAGATAAGCCTCTGCGGCCTCCTGCAGAGCCATGACGGCGGAGCTCTGGAAGCGCAGGTCGGTCTTGAAGTCCTGGGCGATCTCTCGGACGAGGCGCTGGAAGGGCAGCTTGCGGATGAGCAGCTCGGTGGATTTCTGGTAGCGGCGGATCTCTCGGAGAGCCACGGTGCCGGGCCTGTAGCGGTGAGGCTTCTTCACTCCGCCGGTGGCCGGGGCGCTCTTGCGGGCGGCTTTGGTGGCCAGCTGCTTGCGGGGAGCTTTCCCTCCGGTGGACTTACGGGCGGTCTGCTTGGTACGAGCCATCTCTACTCCTCTCTTGCCGGGAACTGCGACTGTAATACGCCTCCGCTCTGCACAGCTATTTATACACATCTCTGCCCTCTGATTGGGCAATGAACACAGTCCTCTGATTGGTTTACTTAAAAAGCTGCAGCTTTTACAATCTCCGCCCAGACAGGCACAATATCTTTGTTAGATCGGCCATGGGTCTCTGGGATCTCCTCACCACCAAATGAGGAAACATTGATAAGAATTATGTTTCTAATGAAAGATTACAATTCCTTATTGATGAAAGAATTAGAAGCTCCATAATTCAGTAAATTACATGAAGGAGGGGGGAGGGGGATAAAACGGGACAATGCTATCACGTGTTTGTAATGACAATTCTAAAAGGTAAAAACAATAGAAAGGCTTTCAGTGTGAGATTCTGGGGAAATTGATATCTACAATCTTTACATCCACTTTCTGATGATCAGATCATTTATTCCCAAAAAGATACAAAAATATTTATTTTATCTGAAAGAAAAGTATAAGTGTCATTACATTCCAATCTCCCGCCGGAATTCTATGTGACGTCACAGACAATCCGCCCTCTTACCGTCAAATCCGACACGGAGAACAAAGGAGATCATCAGATGAGACATTTATCGGCGAACAATCACCAACACATTTTTACAGCAGATTTATCGATTAATCAGGAATGTCTACAAATGGACTCTGATGATTACTGAATCGTGTTAAACATTTCTATAAAACATTGTACATTTCACTATCAGATCTGTATACGATCATGTCACAATGACCGTGTGTGTTTCTCTCTCTCTTTTTAGCCATGTAGCAGTCACTGACCCCCCACCCCCACCCCCCCCCCCCATATATCACATTCAGAATATTGATAATACGAAATGACTGGCAGAAATAAGAAGTGATCATGACACCGCCAGATAAATATGTACAATGAATCGGTAGAGAAAATCTGACATGTCTGAAGAAACCAAATCGGTTTCCTCTTTGTACCTAGAAATCAGCAACATGTTTACAGAATAATACACCTATCATTGCAACAATTCTGTGTTGCTATTCTGTCTCTTGTGTTACACATACACATGAACATTCGATTTTTAGGACCGATCATTTCTTTGTGAGGGGAGAACCTTCAACATCAGTAGGGATCAAATACTTATTCCCTTTCACTGTATCCTCTGTCCCGCTTGCATCCAGAACACACCAATTCTAAAAAAGATTCTGCCTTGTTCTTGGCATTGAATGGGACATTGTGAATACTCGTGTTCTACAAAGACTCCATTGTGCCATGCATCGGTCCAGTTGGGGGCTTTTTGTTCCTTTTTGCCCACCTTAATCATAACTCCGGTTGGGTTATGACTTCCTAAACCTTTTGATGAAATCTCCCCATCCCTTCCAAATAGGAAATATGAATATAAGGATCAACATCAAATGGAAACCTTTAATAGGGTTTCTTAAAATTCAACCTTCCTGCTGGACTGGAATCTCTTTTTCTCTGTTAGACTTCTAGCCTTCCATTAAACAAAGGGTGTCTCTTTATGGGGGTAAAGGCTCAGAGACTCTGTTGAACAGGCCATTATATATAGTTCCTCTACCCCAAACTGGCATCGAATTTTCCAATGTTTTTTTACCAGACAGTTTATTTCCATGTATCAGTCCTATCCAGATGGTCACAACGTCTCCATTTACTGATAGAGTTCAGTCGCGAAAAATACTGCTTTATGTCCCACTAGCATGAGCTGATGCTTTATATTGCACTTGGTGAATTAGACCACAGGTGCTTATTTATGCAACAGGAAAGCCATGGAAACCCATCCATGAGACATTCTCACATTCATGTTGTTACTGCTAATCTGAAGGAACACCATAGTTTGAAGTGTCTCAAGTAGAGATGAGCGAATCGAAGTATCCGAAAGTGGCATTCCGAGTCGGAATGTATCGGAAAAATTTCGATTCGTGCCGAATCCGAAAAAACAGCCTAATTTCGGTACGCGCTAATCGAAATTTTTACGTAAATGGCGGGCTGACATGTGCGGCGACGGTGCGGGGGGATGTCGGGGAAGTCGGCGCAGACAAGGCGCGCTGCCCATTATGCATTCCGC